CTGCGACAAAATACGTAAAGACCCAATCTAGCACGAGACATAGCCACAATAAGACGTCTAACGTCTCGTATATGCCCAACAGTTTTCGTACGAACCAGAGATAAAAGGATATCTAAGAATGAAATGATTATTAAAATTCAAAAAAGATCTTAAAAATCAAAATTAAAGACATATTATAATTACAATCATTTTGTTGTCCTTGAAACTTATCAACTGTTGTAACTTTAGCTGGGCGACCAAATAAAGGATTCCATGAACATCGTTGGCTCAAAACATCCCTTATTAAAGCTTTCTGCCCATTATAAGTTGTTAGGATTGTAATCTTTTCAGCTGGATAACTATATGATGGATAAAACATCTTAGCTAAATAATAGAAATAAAGAACCGTGAAGAAAATAAATTACCCCAACAATCGCATATATTGATATACTGCAACGACATATTCTGCTTCTCCAAGATTCTGTAAAAATTTTTCTTGTTAATTATAAATTACGTGTAAATAGGCGCACTTTCAACATAACACTTACCTGATAGAAATATGGAACAGGCTCACTTTCACCTTTACCCATAAATTCTTCAACATTTATTAATTGGTATTCGTATATAAAACCAGCGTTAGCATTTTTATATTCATCCTTTTCAATTACTGATGACAAATCACCCAAATTTTTGTAACGCCAATTATATAATTTCGCTATAGAGGGCCTAGCACGTCCCTGAGCATCTAGATCAATGGTTGGAACACCAAGTCTAACAAATCTAGTGAATAAACTTTGTTCCATGTTTCCAAATTTTTGAAAAGCCATGTTTTTCACTACAGGTGGTAATTGATTATGATCACCAATCATAATCACTCTTTTCAATCTACTTCGACCATCTTCAGTTTCTTGTAATAACAAAGGAATGAATGTTTCGACTTCCAAAATTTGTGCTGCCTCTTCCATTACTACGTTATCATATTTAAATCCTAAAGAAACCAATTCGCGCCGCTAAATAAAAATATTGAATTAGTTTTAAAAATAAAATTCAATATTTTACCATAAGTTATGTCAAAAATAAAATACTTTTAACGCCGCATGAGTACAAGTCATAGCAATAATTTTAGCTTCCTTCGTTAATAAATAATTAGCTCTATCATAACTAGTTCTAAGTAATTCGAATCCACGAATCTCCTCAAGTTCTGTAAATACTTTTTCTATATGACGGAAACACCCCTCGGCAATTTCTAAGGTATCTTCATAACTTGCATCTTCAGGGAATAGTGGTTGGGGGGCATCATTAAAATATGCGGTGAAAGGGAACTCATTCCTTATTTTTTCTACATCGAAATTCTTATTTATTAATCCTTGCCTACATTTATCAATGTAAGGCTCCCATTTCGACAATACATGATACAAATAAAAATATCCAGCAGTTTCACATGTATATCCATATTCACCACCAATCTGTAATGATTTGGCAAGACGATCTACTTCCGAAAGCAACGATAGACGTTTTTCCTATAGACAAAAATTGTTTTAATAAAATTACATACTAAACTTTAATAAAAAAAAAAGAGTATATACCAAAAATGAATTGACTCTGCCATATTTGCTAAAACTCAGTTCTGTATTGAGTTCCTCTTCACCATGACCCAATCTAAGTAAATGTCTCTCATCAACATCTATATTTAATAAATAGTTGCAATGACAAACTTATTAATTCTTTTAAAATAGTATTAAGTAAGATGTAAGGAAATATATAATCACCAAGAGCCATAATCTTCTCAAATAACTGATTCAGAGCTTGGTTACTATGCGTAACCAATAATGTGTGCTGATCAGTAAAATTATGATATAGATTGGCAATAATCTGAACAGCTACGTCTGTTTTACCGGTACCTGGAGGACCGACGACCATAGTAAGACCAGGGTTGGTTCCTGCTTTAATAGCTTCCACTAATGAAAAATATAATGAATATATATCATACTAGTAGCATAATGACATTCATTTGTAAACACAATAAAATACCTTGTACGGGAGTAAATTTAATGACATTTTTTTTAGGCTGATTAAATGGATAAGGTCCCATATTTGGTAAACTATATGTTTTGACCAATATCTGATCTGGGTTTACATTAGACTGAGAAGGGTTTATATTTTCAGAATCATCAACTTTCCTCTTTTTTGAGATTTGAATATTCTCAGAAAATTGTAGGATGTAAGGTGGTGGAATGGGTGCTTTAAACCCTTCTGCTGGTAAAATATCCTAAATTAATAAATAATACAAGTTATAAAAATTTTATTTTTAAATCTGAAAACTTGCAAGTTTACAAGTAAATATTATCTTACTTTGCCAGGAAAACTTTCAACCAAATGTTCGTAATTTAAAAAAGTATCTCGAAAATCAATTTCTTTCGGTCGATTTGGCATCATGGAATAATGAGCGTTACCAGGGTGACCATAACCCAAGAATATGTTATGTAACCAATCTGGTACCACCAATTCACTTTGCATTAAATCGCGAATCGTTTCAAGAACAGCTTTGAAATTGTTTTCCTAAAATTATTGCCACCATATAAAAGACTTCTTAGAAGTTATAATAGTAAAACATAAATGAAAGGAATTCTATTACCTTTGGCTTCCTTCTCATTAAGACATTAAAAGTTTCATATACATCTTCATCCCTGGTACTTGAAAATCTATTCATATCAATCTAAAATAAATTTAAGTTAATAGAAAATTTATATATAATAATAATATTAAAAAACGATTATACTTTATATTGGTTCGGATCCAAAATCACACGAACTGTCCTCATATTTCCGGAAATTTTAGGTTTCTTATCATCAATACGTGGTTTTCCAACTTCATCAATTGGCTTCCCTAAAAAAAATATAGTTTAAAAATTAAATTGTCTCAAAATCACTAAGATAAATAAAAATTTAATAATGAATGTTACCATCGTCACCAATTATATCGCTAACTTCACAGCCTCGAACATACTTTAAACCAAAATGTTGTCTTTTGAAAAAAATTAAAAGTTATGAATTGATTTGTTTTACAAAAAAAAGATTATTAAATTATTTAAACAAACCTGAATGGCATAACATCTTTATATTTTTCAGCAGTATCATCATGAGCCTGTATTGCTAATAAAAACAACACGTCATGTGGTTTCAAAGAATCCCATTCATTACGAATAGATTCTGTATAGCGACCAACATTAAATGTCACCTGTAAAAATCAAATTCATTATAATAAAATAATTTCAAAAGAATAATGATTATATATATATGATAAAAACATACATCGGCCTTGACTATTGATGGTTTACTTTCACCAATATTCGGTTTACCAACCTCTACTATACTAATTATAAAAAGAGGCACTTAGAAATTAATTGAATTAAACGTCAAGAAGTCTAAGTACTGTAAATTAAATTCTTACTTAAATGTCTCTATTTCTACTGCCATACGAGCCCAACCAGTGAAATCAGTTTTACCCGAAAGGTAAGAAATTCTCGGTGCCAGCCGTTTCACGACATCCTCAATATCTTGCCGAATTTCATAAGTTGTTTCCAATCGAAACAAGTTAAAATTTCTCAACAAATAATCATGAATGGTAAGAAATTGTAAGTTGAGTTTTGGTAGTGCAAGTGGCACTTCATTATTCCAGAATTGAGTTTGTACGACGGCATCATCAAATAGAGCATTCTAATAAATTATTTTAATTAATAAATATATTAATTCATAAATAGCTAACCTTAATTCACAGAAAACTAACCTCATCTGGATAAAGTGGTTTTGAATTTATCAGGTCAATTTGACTCGTTCTCTTTTCAAATTTGCTAACTAACACCTCCACCAAAAAATCTTTATCGTAATGTCCTCCACCAACCAATTTATTTGTTCGAATATTTAAAAATTCACATAATCTTATTATTTCTTCATGAGTTAATGCATCAAAATGTCTTTGTAAGTCAGGCCTTCGTTCAATGGAAGCAAAATTTGATAATGCCAATGATTTTAATGTGATATTAAAATGTTCAAAAGCGATTCGCTATTAAAGAAAAAAAATTGTTGATTAAAAATAAATTGCAAATATAAAACTTGAGTATAAAGTTTAAAAAAAATTATCTACCTGAAGAACAGTTAATCTTTTACAATGTAGCTCTGTCATTCGGTTATCTGTCAAAGCTAAACCAGTATGATCATCAATTTCAAATCCAGCGTAGAACTTTAATATATCTAAAAGTTGCTTGAAAAGGAGTTCGCTATAGACAAACACGGAAAAGTCAAATAAAGATAATGATAATTCGATCATTTAAAACTTTGAATCTACTAACTTTGACATATCACGTTTCATAATCGGTGCAAATTTACAAAGCGTCAATATCTGATGGTCTTCTAATAATTTATTAAAATAACGTCTTGTTGGAAGTTGAGCTTCAAGGTCAATGAAAAATTCCAGACAACGTTCAAGATAAGCTAAGACTTCAAAATTTACTAAAAGTAATACAAAAATTCATGTTATTTCTAAATAATTATGGAAGGAAAAGTTAAATATTATTAATCATTCATACATTCTCCAGTTTCGGGTATTGTATATAAAATTTCCACAAATGCTTTCATGAAGTTGCTTAGCCATGTCCTCTCGAAAATCATTTTTTTCTTTTGTGGTTCATCTATAAATTGAATATCATTAAAAAGATTAAAATAGTAATGGTAAAATACATTAATCGAAAAATAAATATCTATCAAAAGTACCAACCAAAGAATTATAGAATACCTGCTTTCTTGAATCTTTTCACAAATACATTCCAAATCTTTTTCAAATCTTTGTTATTTGCGAATTCTTGCTCTCTCAATGACGCTGTACCAAAACAATGCCATGTTACAAGTGAGACCAATCTGCAAAAATAAAATAAAATTATATATATACATGCACATATATATATTGAAAAATAATACGATATGATTAAAAAACGCCTCTAAACATACATCATACATTCTCCCCGGATTAATTGATTCTCAATACTCTGAAAAACATGAACTAAGAATAATACTATATATTTTCGTACTATAAGAGAAAGTGTATTTGCTAGTGGAGGAATAGCAAGTTCGAGAACACGGTTGAAAAAACCCGAGAATTGTTCAGGACTTTTCATAAAACAATCTATTGGTATTTTTAAAATATAATCAATAACAGAATTTAATTCGTTAATTCACACGTACGTTTCGTTCATTAAGAATTTACCCCATACAGCTACTCGTTCACGAAATTTTTCATTGACCATCAATACAATTGATAATACATGGGCAAGTGAAGCTTGTGAATCATAATGTGGCCAAAGATACTACAATTAGAAAAAAAAATTAATCTTTTTTTTGGATTTTTTTTTGGATTTAGATATAGCAAATTTACTTTTTCTAGATACTGGCTAAGCTCTAGTAACATTAGTTTTTTCGGTTCAAAACCTTTCGATTCTAATTCCTCATTATAGATTTTTTCAACAATAGACGAATCCCATACTATCTTATTAGGATCTTTACTGTTCCAATAAGTTTCTACCAAAATAGATATCGAATCAGCTTTCATATCTTGAAATGTTGGATAATATGCACCGGTTCTCGAGTTTTCGGTCGGTGGAGCATGTGGTGGTAGAGTAGTAAGTCGTTCTTCAGTCATTTTGTAAAATTTTGATACGATCAGATCAAAGTAAATGTTTTCACATTTCAACTTATATATCTGTATATTGTTGATATCATGTGACTCGTGTTTTGATCGGCACGATGATCAAATTTAACGACGATCTTTAAAATTTTATTTTCAAGATAATCTTTAACTTGAATAAAAATGACAAAAGAATTAGACATTATAGACAAAACTGTAGCTAAAAAAATACCAAAATATGTAAGGCCAACGGAAGGAAAGCTAGGTTCTAAGCAATTCAAGGTAATTAAATAATGCAGCATTAAAATTTTCGAGTTATTATTAATAATATATTATATTATTTCTAGAAAATAAAAGACAAAAAACTAAAAGGAAAACTTGAGCGTATAGAAAAAGTTTCCAAAGAAGCTGCTAATAAAGCAGCAAGATCCGAACTTTTACTTACCGAAGAGCCTGGGTATGTAAATTATAGAGAAAATATCGAATTCGTACTTTTGAATAATTAATAATTAATGAATAAAAATAGATACCTTGAGGTTGAGGGAATCGAGAAAACATTTAATATTACACAGAAACAATTAAAAGATAATGTGGACGAAGATTCTACCAAGAAGGTTCGTCTACCGTTAAATGTTAAGAATGTTTAATTGATGTTTTATAAGTCTTATAATGTTCTCTTTTGATATTCAAAGATTTTCGATTTGAAATTGACAAATTTTGGGCCATATTCATTGGATTATACACGTAACGGAAGGTAAATATAATTTATTAATCCTGAGCTTGAATATTTATTTAAATCTTGGTTATTAATTCAAACTTTCAATTATTAATTGTAGGCATATGGTCATTGGAGGTCAGAAAGGTCATATATCAAGTTTCGACTGGGTGGGAAATAAATTAAATTGTGAAATATATGTAAAAGAAACCGTGCGAGATGTCAAGTATGTATTATTTACTATCTTTACAAGAATATAATTTCATTCTTCATCTACTTTTTTTTTACCTTAATTAGATGGCTACACAATGAACTTTTCTTTGCCGTAGCTCAAAAAAAATATGTGTTCATATACGATCACAATGGACTTGAAGTTCATCGATTAAAAAAACATATTGAAGTCAATAAACTTGAATTCTTACCATATCACTTCCTATTAGCTTCTGTGGTAGGTATTAAGTCAATCCTCAATGATTCAAATAATTTTGATTAAAAAAAACTATATATATTTAGGGAAATTCGGGATGGCTCAAATATCAAGATACTTCAACCGGGCAGTTAGTAGCAGAATTAAGAACTAAACTTGGATGTTGTAATGCGATGGCTCAAAATCCGTGGAATGCAATTATGCATCTAGGACATTCTAACGGAACAGTTACATTATGGTCACCTAATATGTCAACTCCTTTGGTCAAAATGCTCACACACAAAGGCCCAGTGAAAGCTGTTGCAGTTGATCACACTGGAAAGTAAGTTCATAGGAATTTAAATTCTCTATTCAAAATTTATTAATTCAACTTATTCTTTGTAGATATATGGCTACATCAGGATTGGACGGACAACTTAAATTATGGGATATAAGGACATATAAACCATTACAACAATATTACACAAGGTCCCCAGCATCGTCACTAACAATATCACAATTAGGCCTTTTAGGTGTTGGCTGGGGTCCTCATGTTACTGTAAATAATATAATACCTTACAAACTTACAAATTAAGAATTAGTAAAACCAAGCGCTAATAATACTTTTATAAATTAGATTTGGAAAGATGCTTTTCTTAAGAAACAACAATCACCTTATATGAATCATCTCCAAGCAGGGACACAGGTACGGGATATACAATTTTGCCCATTTGATGATGCGCTTGGATTAGGGCATTCTGATGGAGTATCAAGTATAATTATTCCCGGTATGTAAAAAAATTACATCTTAAAACTGACTTGTTACAATAAATTTAATATAAATTTTTTGTTAATAGGTTCTGGAGAACCGAATCTTGACAGTTTGGAAGCAAATCCTTATCAGTCCAAGAAACAAAGGCAGGAGGCCGAAGTGCATAGTCTTCTCGACAAGGTATAACATCTTAACAGGTTAACTTATTCGTTTAAATAGAAAATAATTTGGACCTTTTTATAGGTTCAACCAGAGATGATAGTGTTGGATCCTACGTTCATAGGAAAGGTTGATAGAGCTTCCAAAGATTTACTAAAGAAGGAGCTTAAGGAAGAACAGGTATAATTTTATAGTTTATTAACTATGCGTATATGAAATTCAACATTTAACTATTTAAAAATCGATAGGAAGCACAGCTTGCTGGTAAAGGTAAATTGGTGCCTAAAAATAAAATGCGTGGTAAAAGTTCATCATTGAAGAGATACCTTCGCAAGAAACAAAAGAATGTTATAGATGAGCAAAAAGTAATATTATAATATTGTGTTATATACAAAGTTTCATTTATTTTATTTTTAAGTAATTAACGTATTCTTGTTAAATCGTTCATAGCTAATGATTCAACAACGTCTTGAACAAGAAAGAGAAGCACGTAAAAAGCGAACTGTTGATGATAACGAAGATAAAGATCGTCCCAAAGCATTAGAACGATTTTCTAACAAAAAGAGAAAATCTTAATATATTTATTGAACCTTCTTAATATTTAAAAGTATTTAGAGAACAAATTAAAAAAAACAATTAATACTTATATTTTAATAATTTGTACTTAAACATATCATGTGACACTTAGCATCTTTGCTCTTTTTGATACTTGAGACTGAATTTTGTGCAGCAATTTGCTATTGCCTTTCATGACTTTGAGTTAAAAATGAATGGTAATTTTAAACCATAAATATTTTCTTTGTTCAACGAAATGTTTAATTTTTTATAACAGTAAATTAGAATCACGTTACACGAATAGTCCAAGAATCTTGTATCCAAATATATCATGTATTAAGAAATCCTTGATATCATTTATCAATTGTGATATTTGATGAAAATAAATTCACGCCACTAATTAGTAAACCGTGGTATAAACCTTTACTCTTTAATAATGCTTCGCCAAACGAAAATAAATGAATACATCCACGCTCGATTTTAAAATTTTCCATTCTTTTAAAACTAGCCAATCGCTTTTGATGATCACCAATCGACTGCTTTTTTTTCTTTCCACAAAAACTAAAGTGAGTTTAAGAAAATGATTTTATTGTAAATTTAAATACAAATCTTTCGCTTATATTTCATAATTTTTTTATTTAAGAAATGACAATACAAACCTATTTTACAGGTGTCCTTATATTCGGAGCTGCTTTTGCGACTCGGCTTATTCTTTTTCAATTTTCAAATATTACAGAAACTTTAGGAAGTCGTGTGGAAATCATAACTCCTGTAACGAGTTTCATTCGACGTACTGTAATTTGATCATTGTTAACGTTTTTTTTTTTTTTTTTCTTTTTTTTTAAAAAAAAAAATAAAAACCATTAATAATTTTTTTTTTTTTTTTTTTTTTTTTTTTTTTTTTTTAAAAAAAAAAAAAGTAACTGAAGGACTTTATTTATTTGAAAATGGTGTTCCGCCATATGATGGGGGAGCTTTTCATCAAGTAAGTTTAAATTAATTATAATCTAAACCTTATCATAATCAACCAAAATTGATTAAATTATTTCTTTTTTTTGTTCGTTTGCAAGGCACCATTATTACTTGTGTGTTTTCAAATGCTTGGTTATTTACCAAGTATTTTTACAAAATTAACATTTATATTGACAGATCTTATTTTAGCTTATTTTTTAACAGATATAGCTAGAATAAAGCAGCAACTTTACAATAATTTTCCTAGAATCGAAATTGAATTGAAAGAAAATGTATCGAAAGAAATAGATCCATGGATTATTGCTGGATTGTATCCATAAAAATAAATATTAAATATAATTTAAACTAATTTTTTATTATTCTTAATTAAAATCTATACTTTTAGATATTTATTTAATCCGCTAACAATTGCATCATGTCTTTCACAATCTACAATTATATTTACAAATCTATCAATAGTTCTTGGAACTTATTATTCACTTAAAGGTTTGTAAATCACCTTTAAATATATCATTGAAACAAATTTATTAAACTTAATTTTTATTATTCTGTAGATAATAAAAGTTATGGAATGTTTTGGATTGCAATGGCAACTTATTTAAGTTTTTATCCATTTATGTTGATTTCGCCATTAATTTTAATATTAATAAATCATGCTAAATTAAGAGAAAAAAATATTAAAGTATGTATTTTATCATATTTACTTATATGTTAAAAATTTATTTTAATATAAATTTATTTTTAATAGATTGAGATTTTTGGATGTATTGTATTTTACGTTGGATGTTTAAGTGGATTATTAATTTTATCATATCTGTTAATTGGTTCTTGGGATTTTTTAAAAGCTTCTTATGGTGTTATGTAAGATATTTTTAAATTTTCCTTTTATTTCGTCTAAAATATTTATTAATTTATGATTTTATTTTAAAGATTTTTATTATCAGATTTAACACCAAATATAGGATTATTTTGGTATTTCTTTATTGAAATGTTTGATCAATTTAGAAGTTTCTTTTTGGTAGTTTTTCAATTACACGTATTGATATTTATAATACCAATTTCAATAAAATTTAGGTAAGTTAAAAATTTATTTTATATATATATATTTATATATTTTTTAATTTATATTTATATAATCTTCATATTTGAAAGAAATCATCCATTATTTTCAATATTTCTTTTAAATGGAATAATGGCAATATTTAAATCTTATCCATCAATTGGAGATGCTTCACTTTATTTAGCATTTCTTCCAATTTATTCAGAAATTATAAAATGTAATTTATTTTTTTGTTTTAATTAATTTATTTTATTTTATAATATATTTTAATAATTATTATCTTTTTTTTATAGATATGAGATATAATTTTTTAACAATAAATATATTTTGTTATTGTTCAATATTATCACCAATATTTTATTATTTATGGATATATGCAGGTAGTGGTAATGCTAATTTTTTTTATGCTATTACCTTAGTTTATACTATTGGTAATATTATTTTATTAGTTGATTCTACTTTTGCTATGCTTAGAAGAGAATTTGATATTTGGAATCCTAAAACTAAAATTTATGAAATTATTCAACAATAAAAAAAAATTATAAATTAGTTAAATTATAAAATTTAAAAATTTATTTATATAAAGAATTAATTTAAAATGAATCTTTTGATTAATTTAAAATTATTTCATCAGAGTGATTTTTATTCTTAATTTACAAAATTTTGAAAATTTAAAATTTTTGGTATTAAATTGATTTAAATATCACTTTTTTTTTGTTTTTTTCATATACTCTTTTAAAAAAAAATTTTAATAATAAATAATATCAATAATATTAATTAGTATTCATCTTTAATATTTCAAAAAAGTAATTATATAAAAATTTAACATAATAATAATTTATTTAAATTAGAAAATAATTTTTTTTTCATATTTTGATCTTCTTAATAATCTTTTTAATACTAATATTTTACATTTATTTTTTGATAATTTTATCAAAATGTTTAATTTCATTGAAATTAATATTTTTTTTCAAATTTTAAACTGCCTATTATTTTACCAAATTTTAATCTATCTGATAATAATATTTTATCAAATCATAAACTATCTAATAATAATATAGATATGTTTTCAGAATTGTCTTCTTTTAATTTTGTTAATAATTATCAATATAACCTTATTATTGTAATCGACAAAACCTAAATTTTACAAATGTATGATATTTTATAAGTTCAATAGCTTTAACAAAAGCTATATCAACTTAATGTATTTTTATCACTCACTATTAAGAGAATTTATTTTACAAATTAATTTTATTTGTTTAAGAATTAATATCTAAATCTCTTTTTTATTTTTCATCAATATAGTTATTTTATATTTTATTTTCTTACTACTTTTTTTTATTATTTTTTTTTTATCTTTATTATTTCAAATTCTTTTTTTTTTGTCATTTCTGTATTTTATTATAATTTCTTTTATTTTTTTTTTAATATAATTTTTTATCTCTTTAAATATTATTAATATTCATCTTTCATTTTTCTTATAATTTTGTATTTATTTATTTTATTTTTTTTTATTATTTTAAAAAATTTTATTATTATTTTTTTTTATTATATTATCTCTTTATTATAAATCAATTTTATTTTATTTTCTATTCTATTTTTCTTAAAGTTTTATTTTAAATCTTCTGTTTAATTATTTTATTGTTGTCATTTAATATATGATTTATCATTATCAATTATATATTATATTCTTCTTTTTAATCATAATAAGTTCTAATGCTATTTTCTTTATTTAGTTTTTTTATTAAGAAATGAATTAAATACTTAAGTAATGTTTAACATATTAAAGAAGTACTCCTCACCTTATCTATTTATAGAACATATTAATTAAAGGATGTTAATATAGATATTGTTAGGATATATATATCATTAAATAAAAGAAATTTTATTATAATTTTAGTTTTTAAATTAATATATTTACTAAGAATTAGAACAAACTTATTATTTTTTTCTAAATATTAAATTTATCATAATTTCATTTTATTATTTTTTAAAATGTGATAGCTCTAATATCTTTATTATGATAAATTAATTATAAAAATAAAATACAAATCAAAAAAAATTACAGAAATCTCGTTAAAACTAATCTAAAATTAATTAAAATAAATTAATTTTACACTTTCTTGAATTAAATCTAATCTAAGCTAAAATACTATCACTTTTTAGAAAATTATTCAGTAAAAAATGAAAGGGCATAATTATTACTATATTAAAAATTTGACTAATGAGATTCTAATCATATTATGATACTAAGAGAATTTGATCTATTAGAAGTAAAAGAATAATTAGAAGAAAGTGTGCAATCAAAGAAAAAAATTTTTTTTTTTAGATTTAAGGTCAATTTCTATAGTTTTTTAAAAGATTTAGATAATCTAGTAACAATCAATTTAATTGATTAAGTAATTTTAAATAATATATAAAAAAAAAACAAGTGATTTTTGACAAAGATATATTATTAAGTTTTGTTATAGATAAAGTTAAAAAGGTAATTAGAACTATTTTTTAATAAGGGTAAAAAAGGATGTAAATTTATAAGTGAAAAAAATTTAATAATTTAATCACTTAATTTTACTATCTTGTATATTAATAATGAATTTCAAATGTTCTTTTGATTATTATATAATTTATTTATTTTAAAGTTAATAAGAGGATACATTTATATGTAATAGAGTCTTTATAGTTAGCATTATATCTTAAACATAAACATGAGACTAAATACAGTAAGGGCAGTAACATATATTAGTTAATATAATTTTAATATAAGTGTTTACCCTCTTAGGTAAGACAATCATGTGATATATTATCATATAATATATTTGTGATCATGTGCACTCATCATTCATCTTTGTAAAGTTAAAAGTTAATCAAATAAAAAAAAAAACTATAAAATATTTCAATTTGTAAAATTATTTTTATTTCAAATAAAATTTATATAAAATATTTCTTTAATAAAGAAGTTTTGATCAAATGATTATATACATTTATATTTCATATGATATGAGATATTGTGAGAAATTTATTTTATATATAACTTTTTAAAAATTAACTTGCTACAGATCTTTTATGTATTATATTTAACTTTCATTTCATATCTACAAAAAGCTTTTTATATATAAAAAACACATTAATATTTTATTTCAAATATTAAATATGAATTAACAAATATTTTTATTCAGTCTTAAGTTTAATAAAAAGCTAATATATAAATTATTAACAAATAAATATCAGGAATTTTTAAATGCTTATATATATAGTATTATGGTGAAAAAAAGGAAATAGTATCCCAAACTGTGCTGATATTTGCTATAAAGCATTACAAGAATTGAATAAAATTAAAAGTAAAGGTGTTTTTTTGTTTTTTAGATTTTGATATTTTAAATTTTTTAATTAAGCTTTAATTTTATTTTTTTTATATTTTTTTTTTATTTCATTTATTTTAAAAATAATAATTGATATTTAAAATCAAATTAACATCTGAAATGATTTTTATTTTTAAATGATTTTAATATTCAAATTTTAATTATGTATTTTAAATATTTATTTATAAATAAATATTCTATTTTTAAATGAGAATCCTATAATAGGGTCAAAAAAGATTAATAAACTAATAGATTTTTTAAAGAATTATTTCTTTTTATTGTAATTGTTTAGTTAATAATCATAAAAATGAAAAAAATATAAAGAAACTTAAAATATTTAGTTAAGAGATTATGAAAATACTATACTTTATAATATTTTACATATTTTATTTAAAAAAATTATAAATCTAATTCATTAATCTAAAAAAAAATCAGTATTAGATGAATTAATTTAATAAAATCAATTAAAATTTAAAATCAAACGTAGATAATTAACTTTATTTATAAAACTATTATATAATAGAAAAATATTAATCTAAAAGATCAGCTAATATAACATGATATATGTAACTAGAAGTTATATTAATTCAGTTAGGGAATTTACTAAATATATTATAATGATCATTTCGTAATATATTAATAAAATTACCAATTAGAATATTCTAGATTTGTTCCAAATCAAAAATTGGTTAATTAAAATTAGAATTTTTCTTACTTTATAAACTTTAAACTGGTGATATAGTAATAAAGTATTAATACTATAGTGAAAAAAAAATGTTGTTATTAATTTATTCAAGCTAAAAATACTTTGTTTATATATGTTATATATTAGATTTATATTAACATTATATATTACTTAAACTATTTAAAACACTTTTAAAACAAAAAATAATTTGAAAAGGTAAAGAATCAAATCATTTTTGCTGTATTTTTAAACTTTTAGTACAATTATAATTATCAAGTTTATTATCTGAATTAAATAAAGATTTTAACTCTTCTAATATAATCAATAATTTACTATGCTTTTTAAACCTTATGCTATAATATTTTTTTTAAACACTTTTAGTTATCTGTTTAAAAAATATTTCTATTTTGCAAATTATCTTTGTTCTGATCAAATTTACTTTATTTTCTTATACAATTATTTCTTATTTAGTTATCAGAATTGACTTGAATAAAGAAACTGAATTATTGTTATGAAATATTTCAATAATGTAATTTACTTCACTAAATTAGTAAAGTTTGTTAATTATGCACTTAATTCATATTCTTCTCTAAAGCTTTTACAAGCAGTTCTCAAACCTATCAGATTAACAAAATTTTTTTTCTTAGATAGATCCACAATCTTTAATATTCTATAATCACTTTTAGATAAATCTTTGGATTAATCGATTGAATATCATTATATCTGATTAATTTAAAAAAATTGTTTCATAGCTAAATTTT